CATTCAGAGAGAGGAGAGACAGGTGCCGGTCAGAGCCATACCATACGGTAGCGGGGAAGGCAGAGAAGAGAGGACACGACATGGAACAAGTGGGAGGAGAAAAAAAAAACCCAAAACAACAAATGTAGGGCTAGATAGCACCTTTCCTCTTTCGCTTCCCCCTCCTAGCGCTGCTGCACGGCTCTGCAGCGTGTCGTGAGGTTACCTATTCCCCACCTCCTTCCTGCTTCAGCTCAAACACCAAGGCAAGAGCCACAGACAGATTAAGAAATCCCACGAGCAAGGACAGGAAAGCTTAGCAAGTTTACAGGCGCACACGCACCAACTCTATGTATCCCACAGAACTGTTACATCAGTATGAAAAACAAAACAAAATAAAACTTGACGTTTAACTATTAAAAATAAAGCCCCACCTCCAGATTGTACAAAACCTGTCAAGAGAAGGAAGAAATCTCTTGTATGCAGCCAGTCTGGGACCTGGCCAGATGTCAGGAGCACTTCCAGACGCACACGGCCAGGCTGCCACCAAAGAACATGTACAGCAGATTCTTCACCTCGTGAGTGATCTCAAAGCCAAAACCTTCCCCAATCACCACGTGCCAGGAGGACCCAAATTTCTTGTCCATCATCTCTTTGATCATCTTGGCAGCGCTCTGGAGAACATTAAGGAGGAAAGTGTAGGGTGAGAAGGAGCAAGCAGTGAGTTTTTATGCAAACATCCCCCTAGTTTTCTTCTCCCTTTAACAGACCACTCAAGTCATAGGCAACAGGTATAGCAGCTGGACTGCAGGAACTGGGAGCTCCCCAGAGCTACGCCCAAGGGTAAAACAGGTCTCTCTCTTTTCATCAGCCTCTGACACAGCAGCTAGGAGAAATTAAAGAACTGCATCTAGCAATCGCTTCTCTCGCTCGCACAGTCTGAAGCAAGCCTTCTGGTTTAGATGCTGATGGAGTCATGCTGGGTGTAGTGAGCATGAGAAGAGATTCAGGTCACTAAGCTGCGGCTATTTTTACAGGAGTCCATTTTTTTTTTTCTCCAGCTAATTACCAAAACACTGAAACTAGGTTGACTTTTAAAAGGCTCACTTCTCCCAGATCACACCCTGCTTGATCTAAAAAGGGAGAGGAAGATTTTGCAGTGACATGTGGTGCCAAAGGCAGGATGGGGGACAGAAGGAATCTCTGGCTTCGTAGCTTTGCCTTGCTCCAACACAAAACTGCTCTGGCAACAAGCAGTCTGTGCCTGGCCCACGGAGCAAGGTGTGTTTTCCTTTATCGTTGGTTCTCAAAGTTAAGGGCAACCTTTGCCAAGACCGTAACTTCTGCATCACCCTCCATTTATATGGTCTCAGTAATTTCATTCAGGAGGCTGAAAGTCAGGAGGGAAAACTTAACAGACTGTACCTAAAGGTTGAAAGATTTTCAGGTACTCAACCCCAAAACAAAAGCCTCCTCACAGTTCAGGACACAGGGCATTCTATGAACAGAGTGGAAGCATGTCACAGGCAAGGCAGGATCAGGAAGGAGGTAAAGTCGTGAAGTAAAATCATTACTAATCTCTGCTTCCTGCAGAAAAGCAAAGTGCCATTATGGATCTTGCTGACAAAGGGAACCGAATCGGAGATCTAGCCAGGCTCTTTGCCGCCTTCTACCCTTGCTCAGTGCAGAAAGAGAGTAACAGGATGTCAGGATCTGATTCTGCTCTGCTCTGCGCCCTTAGCCCCGCTCCTGCAGGTTCCCTGAACTGCAACTGAAGGCTGGTCATTTTGGGATTTGGCTAGTACCTCGTTGTTGGTGGCGTATTTCTCACATGCCGTGACACACAGCTCCATGGCCTCTACACGCATCTCCTCCGGCATGTCTGTGTGCTGGAAAGAGCAAACAAACAAGAGGAACTAAGCAGAAAAATAAGAGCAGGAGACAAGACAACAGTAAGTAGCCCTTACTTTTGCGCAGGCTATAGCGGGGGCCTAGACTGCTGGGTGTGGGCAGAAGGCAGCTAGTCCCTGGGAATTTAATGCTTGCTTCAAGGTGGGAGGGCATCACCAGCGGCACGGGCTTGTCCGTACACCAAGCATTTCCACTGTTTCAGAGAACGGTAAATATGAAAATGGCTTATTGCGTTACAAGCAATCCATTCGTTCCTTCATCCCAGCCAATGCAGAATTCTTCTTTACCTAACATTAAGACTAGCACTAAGTAAGCACGACTTAAAGGAGGAGATGAATACATTCGTCAGTTTTTCTGTTATAAGACGAAGGGAAAGCATGTTAATATTGCTCCAACCACAGTCCTTAATTATTGCTATAAGCATAACAAAGAAGTCTAGATTACACAGCCTTTTCTTCCTCTTCTGCTATCTGGCTGGCTAACAAGATCTTTTACTCCAGCTCCTCTAGGAAAAAAACAGCAAGCTGCATCCAGAACACAGGAGAGGGCTCCAAAGGCAGCACGTTCAATCTATTAGACGGATCACTTTGCCCCAGGCTTCCACCGCCTCATGGGGGGAACAACGATGCTACTAAATTTCCCTGACAGAGGTCAAGGACAGGGAGAAAGCAGCTGTGATGACCGGGATCCCTCCGCAGGACCATCAGTACACACGTTCTCACACCAGCTACTCAGTGGGAGACATTCTAGTTTGGAAAGCTGGTAAGGATGAAGGTAGAATTTCATATCTGTAACACTGGTAAATGCATAATTTCTTCTTACCCTAATCAGTGGAAAGCTGTGAAGTCTTTTATAATCAGCCTCCTCCTTTTTCCCCTCCCCGGTGTCTGCCATGGTCCTTCCACAGTGACCCCGGGAAGGGGTGGAGGGGCTGCCTGGAGCTCAGCAAGGTGCTGCGGCACAAACAGCCGAGAGGAACACGGCTCTGTGAGCACGGGCAGAGCAGCTGCAGCGGGCAAGGAACCTTCTCAGCTGAGAGGACACTGCTTGAACAAAAACAAACACAGGACAGAGAAAGAAAGCTTTGAATTAAAATGAAGGCAAATAAAACTATTACGAGAATATCTTGACTACTTGCTGTTTCTCAGTACCATCTTCACAGGCCACGCACTTAAGAGCATTATCTTACAGACCATTAATGCAAACAAATTTAAAAAACATATCATTTTCCATAAACAAGGCTTCAAGAGCACAGCACTTCCCAGAAGCACCAATCGAGCCTGAGGGAAGAGCTGAGCCAGGGTACAGCTTCCGACAAGGGAAGGGAGAACAATACATCGGCTGTTATGCATATTGATTAATTCCAAAAGGATCTTCCCAGGACACTGTTATCTGTGAGGGTTTCAAACTGCGCCTGACAAATGAAGGGTAAGAGTATTTTAGGAACAGGATCAGCGTGCATGTCTGGACGGAAATGTTTAACAGGAACATCTCGGTCTGGTTTGTGCACTCGCTCCTCACGTCCCCAAGCATTTGTCAGCTGGGGAGGACCATATGGGAAAACGCTGGACCGTACCTCTGGGCCCAATTCCCAACCAGCCTCTACTTGGGCAACGCAGAGCACAGCACTGTCTGACTGGCAGATTCAGAACATTTCACCGTGGTCTTCCCTCGGGTTCTCTCATCCAGAACAAAGCACCTTCCTCTCCTACCCAGAGGAAGCAAGGGTGACCCCATATTAAATGGAAAAGAAAGCAACACCACACAGACCAAGCATTTACGCCAAGTGTGTAGAGTTGCTGGCTACAGCACCAAGTCTAACAGACCACCGGCTCTTACACGAGGGACCGTGGGACCTGCAGATGTCCCCACCACAACCTCCACAGGGCAGAACACTGCCTGCAGCGGGGCA